GCTTCGGGCTTGGAGTTCAGGGCATTCTGTCGACGGGTTGTCTGAAGTTTCTGTTGAAATGGGCGTTCGTGCATGTGCTTTCTGCATCATACATTCTGTTGAGCAAAGATGGACAAGTAACGGTTTGGCCTTTTATCATCGCTTTGTAGAGTTGTAAATTTGCCACACATCTGGTCTCCGCGCGGTCTTCCTGCATCTCATCAGGACATCCCATACCACGTCCGATGCTGAGACTGTGTCTTGTTTGTCAAGTGGTGGACTGAGGATATGCATTTTCACCTCGTGGCCAACGCAATCAAGTTCACAGACCGGGGCGAGGCGGGCTAGATTTTAAATTTTACAGGGCAGGGACATTGCAGATCGCTTTCATGTGGTACATCGCATGCAAACATGATATATTATATTCTTATAGGTATAGTCTGTACTCTTGACGCGAAGCGAGCGCCTCAGCTGTGGGCCAATGCAACGGAGATGCGGCATGCTTGAAATGGTCTGTTTTGCGATATCACACGTGCCAGTTTCTGCTGGCATCAACTGCACGATGAAGTAAGAAAAATGGTTAGTTTCATACAATCCCAGATTGCCTTCGGGAGGCGGCTGCCTAGGCAGTGTGGCAGCAAGGCAGCCACATCAGCCCTTATCGTGTTGACTTTTAGGATCCCTGAGCCGCTCCCGAAGCGTGATTCGGCACAGCTGCTATTCAAGCATGGCTCCACAACGGCGTAAGGCAGAAGTCGTTTGCGTGCGCACAATGGCCAAATCTCGCAGGCGTCTGCTTGCTCCACGAGGAATCGGCACGAACGGCTTAAGCGGGAAAGCGAAGCGGAAAGGGCTTTTAATACGGGGTTCTCCGGGTTTTAAGATATTTATACTTTTTCTGTATACTAAGAAACCCCAAATGCCCCCAAAGTAGTATTGGTAATTATTGAGGCCCTCATATTCGATGCAGCGGAGCTCACGACAAACTCTTCTGGGGGCCTGCGAGATGGTGGGTGCGTGATGCTGAAAGTCTTACTCGGGTTTAGGGTGTAGGGATGTTTAGGGTATAGCGGCATAAT